TCCTTTCAGGGCACTGGTGGCCTCACTTCCATGCTTCCCTGAGACCAAATATAGGCTGCTGCCCCATTTAAAATTAGGGCAGTGGTTCCCAAAAGAAAGCCCTGAAGGAACTTGCTGGGGCTGTCCCAGGGTTAGGCTAGTGCAGGACCCAGGCTGTGCTCATGCAGGGAGTCTACCAGGCCTCGAGACCGAACATCTCTTCCTCACCACACCCTTCCTTTCTCACTGAAGCCCGGAGGCTTGCATATCATTGTACTCTGACTTTTGAAAAGTGTTAAGTCACACAGCAATGAGAAAGTGAGCCACCCTGCAGGGGCCTCTGAGCATCACTGGTTGCCATGACCAAGTACCTAAAAGAGTCTGGCACACAGCAAAGGCCACTGGTGTCTGCTGAGCACCTGAACACATGATGGGCCAAGCACAGAGGGCACTTGCCAGAGCATCGACCTTTGCCCAGGGTTCTTCAGGAGTGGATGGCCCTGGGAAAGGCAACTCAGGCCTGTCATATGGTGAGGGACTGTGTTCTGCTCTGTGTGAGGCCTTCACCCTCCTGTTACATCTAGAGAGACAGAGTGGTCAGCACTACTTTGTAAAATATCCCACTCTATCCCCAGATTATTTAGTCATGGAGCTATGATGGGAGTCTGGGCACTCCTTGAGGTCTGCCTCATAAATGATGCATATCTGCTGTGTGTCCCAGTCCCTTTGCCTGAAAAGTGTCATCCACAGTGTCCTTGGGCAAGTGGGATGGGACTACTGGGATGACCACCACCTCTTTAGAAGGCTGGCCAGAGCCAGAGGAACGTCAGCTCAGGCAGGGCTCCTTGAGCTCCCTATGCCTATGGAGGCCCTGAGTACAGTTCTTAACCTCCCTAAAGGAGGACTTTTGAAGCATTTGCACAGCTGTCCACACATGGGGTTACCCACCAAAGGTGGCATGAACAGGATTGGGACTAAAAGCTGTGTCCCAGGAAGCAAACAGAGGGTGGGGTTGGGTTTTGTTTTCTTCTGTGATACTGGGAATTGAACCCAGGAATCTCACCCAAGCTAGGCAAGCTCTCTACCACTGAGCTACAGCTCCAGCCTTTTTTATTTTATCTAGGATACAGACTTTAGCCAAGTTGGCCAAGCTGGCCTTGAACTTGCAGTCCTCCTGCCTCAGTCCCCTGAATGACTGGGGTCAGCCAGGACAGAGTCTTCATCACTTTTCCCTGCCATTTCTCTGTTCCTTTGCTTTTTTTGGTACAGGGGATCAAGCCCAGGGTCACTCTACCTCTTTTTTTTTTTTTTTTTTTTTAAGTTGGGGATTAAACCCAGGAGCATTTAACTACTGGCCCACATCACCAGCCCTTTTTATTTTTTATTTTGAGACACTATTGCTATGTTGCTGAGGGTGGCTTTGAACTTGTGATCCTCTTGCCTCAGCCTTCTGAGCTTCTGGGATTGCAGGTGTGGGGCACTCTACCTCTGAGCTATATCCCTTGGTCCTTTTTATTTTGAGACAGGGTCTTGATAAGTTGCTGAGGCTGGCCTTGAATTTTTGGTCCTCCTACTTCAACCTCCCAAGTTGCTGGGATTATAGACATGTGCCTTTTTGTTCCTTTTCTTCTGAGCACTCAGCAAGAAGGGACTATGTTGTCCCTGTCCTCCAGGAAAGATCCCCACATGCCCCTGCCAACAGGCCTCCTTGCCTGACCACTGGGAAATTTCCCCAGACTGGATCCTGTTCTGGGAGGGTGTCCTCTGAGCTCAGGGGAGAGAGATGTTCAGGGCAGAGTGCTCCCTTGTATTGGTCAACACCATCTTTGCCCCAGGCCTGCTAAGAGACCAGTAGGGAACAGGTGGGGGCTTGCGGGAGTTTGTGCTTCTAGCAGCACACATGGCACCCTCAAGGGCAAGGTATATGGTACCCCTCAAGGCAAGCAGGTGGCCTCTGAGGTGCACAATTCCTACATTCACAAGTGAGTATGGGCAAGGCCCGCTGTTGGAACACACCAGTTCAGGACCTGGCTGTGAGTAGTTTCTTCCACTGGATATGACTTCCACTCACCATCAGCTCAGGGCTTGACTGCAAGAGGGAAGCACCAGAAATGCCAGAGCCATTCCCCATGGAGGCTCCTGTAAGGAGGAGCTCTTTGTTCCTTTTCTGTTCCACGCTGCTCTGCCACTGATGCATAACCTCAGGAGAGGCAGGAGTGCTTGCTAATGTGGGACTGACACTGGGTTACCGGCTGGACTTCCCCTGGCAGTGGCAGCCTGGGAACTGGCAGGCTGAATTTGATCCTCAAAATTGACCCACAGGCTCACCGCTATGTTTGCTTGCTACCCCTTCAGAAGCCACCAGCACACATGGGCCTTGAGTCCCGTGAGGTGGCATGTCCACATAAGAAAAGCTAAATGATAACAGTCCAGAGAGCTTGAGAAAGGGAACTCAGTATCTCAGTGATGCCCTGTAAGATGATTTTATGCTGTTAAGACAGCATCCTAGGGCTGGGGTTGTGGCTCAGTGGTAGAGCACTTGCCTAGCATGTGTGAGACACTGGGTTCAATCCTCAGCACCACATTAAAAATAAATGCATTGTGTCCATCTATAACTACTAAAAATATTTTTAACAAAAAAGCATCCTAGATATGTGGAGCTGGAGTTCTTGCTACCCAAGGGTGGCTTGTAGGGCATCGGAACCTGTGCAGCTTTGCTCTGGCCTGGGCTGCCCAGGCCTTCCTTAGGGAATAGACAGGAAACACTGGATTTGGGGGCCACATGATCTCTGAAAGCACAGGTGACACCTAAATAAATGAGCTGTCCTCTACCAGTATGACTATTTGGGGACATTGAAGTTTGAATTTCACATAATTTTCACCTCCCATAAAGTGTTGTTTTATTTTTGATTTTTCCAGCCAGTTAAAAATGTCATCATTGTTCTGCTGGCAGACTGGATTTGACCCTCAAGCCATGGTCTGCAGCCCTGTTCTGCACCAGTGTGCTCAGTGCCTGGTTTGCCGTGGGGAGAGGCCTGAGCAGCCACAGGACTTGCTAGCGTCCACCCCATCCACCTCCCCAGCCTCTTGGGAAAAACAACCCCTCACGCTCTGAGGGAGATGGCGGTCAGGCGGACATTATTGCTGCACAGGGAACTCGACTGGCTCTGATTGAAGCCCTGTGGCTTGGGGGTGTCTGGGAGGGGCTAGGCCCAGTGCTGGGAGTCCTCCCTGCCATCATTCTGACTCAAAGGCACCATGCAGCCCATCTGCCTACCACACAGGAGCAGCTACCAGGGCCACCCCAGGCTCCCCGTGCACCAAGGATACTTAATGTAGCACTTTGTTTTGGTAAACCATCTTCCCCTAATTGCACCCTGACCAGATTTAGTGTCCCTAGGACTTATGCAGAAGCCAGGGAAAGGACTGTTGTCATATAACATCAGGTACAGGGGTGGGGACCACTGTGGCCACACAAGGCTGTTATTGATCAACCCAATCAGAAAGGCAGCCCAGATGGTCAGCTTGGACCAGGTATTCCATGTAGGTCAGCCTCAGAAGGTCCTCCTAGGGTTATTTTCAACCTCCCTTACCCAGTGGGCATAATAAGATGGCCTCTCCCACAGTGCAGATAATCCATCTGCGGAGGTCCCAGTGAGGCTTCCTTCTGGTCACCCCTGGGATAAATCTCTCTGGAGGAGAGACAGAGGGCTAGCACTGCCCTCAGCCTTGGTCAACCTTGGGTTCTTGTCTTTCTCCAGGTCTGGGGCCATGTGGGTTTGTGTGGCCAGCTGCTGCCCTTCCTCTAACTCTTGGGGCCTCCAAGTGCCCTTCTCTGAGGCCTGGATCAACCCTGCCAGCTCCCTCCTTTTCCTTTGGTTAGCCATCCTTGTGGTCTCTGCCCCATCACAAGACAAAGCCAGCCATGTGATCCCTTTTCTAAGGAATAGAACATTTTTGAAAACCAGAGACAAGTGATTGGGGGATTATTGGGTTTCAGGGGCAGGGCAAGGTGACTTCCTAGGACTCTAAAATGCCCTGAGCCGAGGGATGGAGGGGTACTTCAGCTCTGTAGGGTGCTAGCCTTTCGAACCTGACCTCCACCCCTTGTGGGGCCTGGCTCTGGGAGGAGCCTGTGGTATTGAATATTCAGGGTGAGGCCCAGGTCTCTGCGCCTGCCTGTCCCCACACCCAGAGCTACTTGGCATGCTGGGAAACCCTCCTAGGATCTAGGGCTTCATCTGTAAATCACACTGTTTCTTTTCTCTTTTATTCTCTCTCTGTGTTTATTTTTGTTGTGTCACTGACCAGCCGGCTACCCTGTCTCCGGCGTGGGCATTCTCCTCTCTCCATGCTCCTGTTCGTGTGCCACCGGCCAAAGGTGACCAGGCCTGTCTTTCAGCGTGGCCGCTATCAGAGGGGCCATGGGGAGCTCCGCCTCCTCCCTGGCCACTGAGACTGAGTCAGACCACGGCTTCCCCCGGGGGCCACCATACCCAGGGCCCCCGGCAGCGGCTGACTGGTGTAGGAGTGGCCCTGGGGGGCCCATCTGGGGGAGTGCCCTGGTTGCCAGGCAGCACCCACGCCCCCGGGCCCGAAGGTAAGAGGGTGGGGAAGGGCTGCCCCATAGGGGTCTCAGGAAGGAGGCCTCTTTTTTTCAGGGCGTCCCTCCTTGACAGAGGCACATGCTCAGAGATGGGGCCTCTGTCTCTCAGGTCTTGGGCACCTTGCTTCTGAAGGCCAAGGGCATCCAGGCTCTGAGTTATCTCCACCTTGGACCCAGCAGGTCTGGGACCCTCCTGGGCCAGGATGTGCTGCTGATCCCACTGTTGGGCACTTCTTTCCTGTGGCCTGCTCTTGTGAACACTATCTGGAAGCCAGGTGCAGTGGTGCACACCTCTAAACCCAGCAACTTGGGAGGCTGAGGCAGGAAGATCACAAGTTCAAGTCTGTCCTCAGCAGTTTAGCAAGATCCCGACTCAAAATTTAAAAATAATGGCTGGGGAAGTGGCTCAGTGGTAGAATAATCTTGATTCAATCCCCAGTTACCCCCCCCCCAAAAAAAAGTCTCTAGACTAGCTTGGGAGGTAGAGGCTGCCAACCTGGAGGCTGGCTCACACACGAGTTCTGGCTTGCATCCCATGGACTCAGGGCTGAATCCTACCTGTGGTGCTGCTGCTCTAGCATGGGGACACAGTGACAGGCCTACATCTGCTGCCTCCACACAGCATGTCATTGCTGCTGGTTTGGAGAAGACCTGATGCTCTCCAAACTCTTGAGGTTTGGGGCCTTGGGGTAGATATGGTGGCAGTAGCTTCGTACTCTTGGGAGCCCAGGCCTTTGATCTGAGATTACACATCCCTGTCCCTCAATCTGAGGCAACTGCAATGCAGTACCTGGCCATGGTTCCACAGACAGCTCATTTACCTGCCTGCCATCTTGTAGGCACAGGAAGGGGTGGGCCACATGGAGCTGTGGGCCGCATGTGGAGAATTGTCCTCCAGGGTTAGCTTTGGTACAGAAGTCTGAGCTCCTGGCAGACCAGGAATCAGGGGGTGCTAGAGGGGATCAGTGAGGCTTCAGGAAAATGTCTTGTCTAAGACTTACCCTAATGGATGAGAGCCACTAGGGAACTTGAGGTGCAGAGAGAGGACAGTGGCCACTGGTGGAAATAGCACTGCTTCTCTTGCAGAAGAAGGCATTGGAGCATGTTACAGTTCCCCTTATCTGCACCACAGATGCTGGGGAGCAGTGAGGGGATCAAACCCAGGGTCTTACTGAGCTACATTCCCAGCCCCCTATACATATTTTAATTAACATCTGTGGTTAATAGTGTGGTTCATTTTCAGTCAGTTTGTAGCTTTGTACAAACATCCTCACAAACCCATTTGCAGCATCTCTGCCCCTGAAAGAGGTCCCCTTTGCAGTCACCCTCATCCCTACCCCCACACTGGCCTCAGACAGGTACTGGTATGCTTCCTGACAAAGGTCTGCCTTTTCCAAAAATGCAGCATGTGGCCTTGTGACTGGCTGCTTCCATTCCTTTCTTCGCTGAGCAGTAGTCTGTCATTAGTATAGCCCACCTCTTGTTTCTGCTCATGGACACTTGGGTTGTTTCCACTTGGCTTTTATGCACAATTCTGCTGTGGACATTCATGTTGAAGTTTGTGTGTGGACAAGTGTTTTCCTTTTTCTTGGGTAGATTAACCTAGAGTGGAATTACTGGGGGCTTACAGTGAGTTTATGGAACTTTCTGAGAACCTGCTACACTACTTGCATTTCCCCATGTTAGACAGTGTTCATTGGGTCAGTCTCTTTTACTTGACTACCCATTATGTTGTGCAGTGTTATTTCCCTGGTGGCTAATGATGTTGAGCATCTTCTTGTGTTTTCATCTGTCCACATACATCTTTGTATACCGTGCATGTATATTCTAAAAGACATCATTAAGAGCAGAACCCCTGAGCCTGGGTGGAGGCTGGCTGCCACTTCAGCTGACCTCAGCAGGCAGCATTCTAGCAATGAGCATTGACATGCTTGCTGCATGGGTGGGATTAAGTTCATGTGTGCTGATAAAAATTCAAATTTTTGTTTTTTGAGGTTCAAGGTTTTAAAATCTTTTTTTAATGTCGTACTTACAAATTTTACTTTGGCATAGTTCTTTTCATCATAGAAATTTCACACATTCAACCAGATTGTGGTGGTACAGTCCTGTAATCTCAGTGACTCAGGAGTCTGAAGCAAAAGGATCCCAAGTTCAAAGCCATCTTCAGCAACTTAGCAAAACCCTGTCTCAAAATAAAAAGGGCTGGGACGTGCACCTAGGTTCAACCCCAGTACCAAAAAGAGAAGTTCCACATATTCAGTAAATATCTAAGCATCACGAAGAAATATAGAGAAAAGCATTTTCTCCCCTGCCCATTTTCCAGAAGGAGAGGCCCTCTCAGCTCTTTCATGCACCCCAGGGCCAGAGTTGGAGACCTCAGGAAGGCTGTCCAGGTATGGATTCCAGGCAGCCTCAGCCATCATGCTCTCTGGGCACTAACACTGTGGTTGTCCCAGGCCCGTCTTCCCTGGAACTGTCAGGAGAATGGTGGTAGCCTTTCAGGAAAAGCTGAAACCCCAGACTAGCACCACAGGTGTTGGCTCTGGAGTGTGCCCTTTGTACTGCCAAGGCTGTGCCCAGAGCATAGATGTGTTGCTGTGAGACTTTGGGTCTTGGCTTGAAGGATCACTCACAGTGCATGTAGATACAACCCTACCCCCTCACTCACCCTGACCACCAGACACCTCCCTTGGGGCCATTGCTCTCAGATAGCCTGTTCCCATGAGGAATCCATAGACCTGCTGGCTTGAGAGGGCAGTGTGGGAAAGCTGGATACAGCCGATGGTGAGAAAATAGGAGTTGACACTACACTGTGACTGCCCTACAGGACTCCTTCCAGCACACATGTTCAGGCAGCAAAGCACAGGCATGGGAGTCTGGCAGACCCTTTCCCAGCTCTGACAGGACACCAGTGGGCCAGGAAGGGCTCTGGGCAGAAACTGGCAGCAGTGACAACTCCTGACACCTCTGAGGAGGTACACCTGGGTACATTGCCTTCTTGAGTAAATTCTCACAATGCCCAGAAAGGCAGGCACTGCCCCCTCAGGTAGTCCTTTGTAAGGATAAGGAAGTCACCTACTACCTCAGCCTGGGAGAACCTAGTGTGCAGATCTCTCCCTGGTAACTGGGTACCTGTGTCCAGTGTCTTGCCCAAGTGCTTAATTAGTGAGCAACTGGTTCAGACATTGGCCACCTAGAGAAAAAGATAAGGAGGATGCACCCCACCCAGAAAGGCCAACCAGGCTGTGGACTGTGGCCAGCCCAAGGAAGAGTGACGTGCCCTTGTCCTCCTGAGAGTGTCAAGTGGAAGCCCCCAGAGTAGAATCTATCATGAACACAGTTGGAGAGCCACCAAACCAAGCCTGATGCCTTTGGGGAATTTGCAGGGTCACTCATTGGGCTGCACAGGTGGTCAGGGGCATTTGTCTCAGTGTGGCCTGCTGAGCCAGCTGCCCGAGAAGCCCAATTCCAAAAGTCAGGTGGCTTTGACTAAGGCCCTGTGAATGGGACACCTGTCTCATTTATCTCTTCCTGAGGAAAGCCTAGGACGTGCAGCCTCCATGTGCTCCAAGCACTCATTTCCTGGTTATGTCAGGTGGACTTTGTACCCCTCCCTTCTCAGCTAGAACTGAGCGTTGGCAAGGCCCAGAGAACTGAGGGCACAACAGGTGTTCTGTGTTGATTTTCTGGCAGTTGCCTCAGTTTCCTTTTCTTGTTAGCCAGTTTCCTATGAAGGTAGATTTGCTTCTGTGTCCTCCAGGACAAGTGCCTCAGGTCTGAACTTGTGTGCTGTGTAATCTGGGAGCATTTTATTTTGAGAATTTTGAAGTACCTTCTTTTTTGTGTGTGGTACTGGGGACTGAACCCAGTGGTGCTTTATCACTGAGCTACATTCCCAGCCCTTTTAATTTTTTAAATTTTGAAACAGGGTCTCACTAAGTTGCCAATGCTGGCCTGAAACTTGCAGTCCTCCTGCCACAGCCACTCAAGTGGCTAGTTGATGCAGGCTTTTACTTATACACTTTGGTAGTATTCTTGCCTTGTCTACTGATGTTTTGTGGATTTCGGGCTTGAGTCCTTTGTCTCCTCCCAGACCCTTCAAAATGGAGAGTAGCCTTGAGTGATGGGCAGTAGAACAAGTGAGCCAAGGAGGCTGAAGAATAGGCCCATCAGTTCTCCTGGCTGTCGTGCTGGTCCTGCATCCTTTCATGTCATATCATGACCCATGTCATGCAGAAGTGGTCAGTCCTCAAAGTCCCTGGTCCTTCAGGCCTCTCCCAGCCACAAATGAGCCACTGCTTTCTGTTCCTCCCACCTTATCCTGTTTTCATTTAAACCTTTCCAAACTGTGGACAGGACCTTCCTGACTCAGTTCATCTTCCAGGACAGCTCTGTCATGTCCTCTCAGGTACTGATCAGACTAGCAGACACCATACCTGGATATAAGCTGGGCACTGGCTATGCTAGCCAGCTCCCAGGGGTACAGAGACTTGACCCCACACTATTGTTTTTGAGGTTTTTCCTGCTCAAATCTATGCTGACCAGGGGCCTAGGGCCAAGACACCCTGCCCTGAGAGTTGTGTGATGTCAAATGCTGCATGAGTCTGTCTTCTCTCTGGAAAATCCTCCTGAGGAGTGGGTTGTGAAGGGTCAGCCCCACACAGGTCCCCACTGCCCAGCTTGGCTATGCTCCAAGTGTGTGTGCAGGTGGAGCCAGTTGTCCACTGGTATGCGCTCTTGCATGTGTGTGCATGTTTCTGTGTATGCCTGTGCTGCACTCCGTGCCTCGACCATGAGCCTTTCTCTGAAGAGGGAAAGGGACAGGTTTCTTCTCTTCAGGAAGTCTTTCTGGCATTTATGAGCATAGAATCCCAGGTCAAAATGGACTGCCTGGCCTGGGCTCTGAACCCAGCCAAGTGTACCCTATCTACCCCAGGGTTCTATGGAGCCCATTCTGTTCACTTGGGCCCTGCACTCTACACTGTGGACAGTGTACAAGGGCAACCAAGTGCCTCTGCCATGTGAATCCAGTCACGCTTCCACCTACTTTTCTTGCAGGGTCTCTGCCTGCACGGAGAATCTGCTTTGGAGTCCTCTGGGTTCTGGGAAACAATTGTGTTGCTAGGGGAGAATTTTTCCCCCCCTAAAGAGGCGAGTTTTCATTCTTCCTAAACCAAAAGGGATAGAAGCCCAAGCTTCATGCCTCATGCCTGTGCCTCACTATAAAGAATAATTGATTTTCCTGCAGGCAGAGCAGCTACAGTCAGTTTAAGAGATATTGTGTAGTATGGAGACCCCCTCACACTGGCTTAGCCCCACGGGCCCCACCCTACCCCCAATCCTGGACCCGGTGAGGCCCTGGAGGAGTACATCCCTCCTACCTTGCCTTGGGCCCCAGTGCCTCCCCTTCCATCCAGGAGTAGCAGGCACTTGGCCTGGGGAGCAAACAGTGAAGCCAGGAGCCCAGGAACCCTCCTAGCCCGGGGAGCTGCATTCAAGGCTGTAGGCAGCCTCCCTCTGTGTGCTAAGCTCAGCCTCTGGTTCCAGTGCCTGGCGGGAGGGAGTGCCCTGTCCTCAGAACAGTGCTAGGTACAGGCCTCCCTGTCTACCTCTGGGCAGGCCCACATAGCGTCTGTCCTGCAGCCTCAGCTGTGATTGAGCAGCCCTCTCCGGCAGACTTCATGCAATACCCCCATAACTATCACTGCCTAGCTAACAGAAGGGAGGGCCAGAGGTTGTAGACCTTCTGTCTCTGTCCATAGCTCCCCTGAACCCCTGAGTTCTGGGCACTGCACAGCCTAACCCCACATTGACCACACCAGGTTTCCAGTTCTGCGGTCACAGGCAGGTGCCTCCCCCAGGATCATTCGCTGGGAGGGTGGTGTCCTACCATCTATAGGACATCATGATCACGGACCCCACAGGAGCTTCCCTGACCAGGGCCTTTCCTTGCAGCCATACACACTCGCCTGGGTCTATGGCCGCGGTTGGGGAGTGGTCCTGTGCGCGCTGCACCTTCCTGAACCCGGCTGGCCAGCGCCAGTGCTCCATCTGTGAGGCCCCTCGGCACAAGCCTGACCTGGACCAGATCCTGCGGCTCAGCGTAGAGGAACAGAAGTGGCCCTGTGCCCGCTGCACATTCCGGAACTTCCTGGGCAAGGAGGCCTGCGAGGTGTGTGGCTTCACCCCAGAGCCTGTGCCTGGAGCATCCTTGCTGCCCATCATCAATGGGGTCCTGCCCAAACCACCCACCATCCTGGTGGAGCCAAAAGGCAGCTGTAAGGAAGAGACGGGCTCTGTGCGGACAGCAGGGATAGTGGCCCTAGAGCCAGCTGGAAGATGCACTGAGGAGAAGGAACAAGAAGATGAGGAGGAGGGGGCAGAGCCCGGAAGTGGATGGGCCTGCCAACGCTGCACATTGCACAACACACCCGTGGCCAGCTCCTGCTCTGCCTGTGGGGGCCCCCGAAAACTGTCACTGCCCAGGATCCCCCCGGAAGCCCTGGTGGTACCCGAGGTTGTGGCCCCCGCAGGCTTCCATGCAGTACCTGCCGCACCCCAGCCAGTGTTCCCTGGGGAAGGGGCTGAGGCTGACACTCCCTCCACCAGCCAAGGCCCAGCCTCTGCTGACCAGGAGGCTCCCAGGGTACCTCCTTTCAGCCCCTTCTCACCCACCCTGCAGAACAACCCTGTGCCCCGAAGCCGCCGAGAAGTACCCCCCCAGCTTCAGCCACCTGTGCCTGAGGCTGCTCAGCCCTCTTCCTCCACTGGCTCCAAAGGGCCCCCCCAGGGCCCAGGCAGGGCCACGGCTGCTGGGGCCTCACGCCTGGCAGAGCTGCTTTCAGGCCAGCGGCTAAGTGTGCTGGAGGAGGAGGTGGCCCCAGGGACCATCCTTGCCCGCTGTGAGGCCTGCAGCCCCTCCCCAGGCAGTGATGTCATTGATCTAGCTGGGGACACTGTGCGCTACACACCTGCCAGTCCCTCCAGCCCCGACTTCACCACCTGGTCGTGTGCCAAATGCACACTCAGGAACCCCACAGCTGCCCCCAGGTGCACAGTATGTGGCTGCTCTAAGCTTCATGGCTTCCAGGAGCACAGTGAACCCCCCACCCACTGTCCAGACTGTGGGACTGACAGACCTGGCCCCTCTGCCCACAAGGCCACCAGTCTTCTCTCTGAGCGTCCAGGCCAATGGGCCTGCCCTGCCTGTACCTTGCTCAACGCACCCCGGGCCAAGCACTGTGCAGCCTGCCACACACCCCAGCTCCTGGTGACCCGGCGCAGGGCTGTGGCGCCCTTAAAGCGTAGAGAGAGTATGCATGTGGAGAAGCGGCGGCAGACAGATGAGGGCGAGGCCAAGGCTCTCTGGGAGGACATCGTGGCCTTCTGCCGGGAGGTGAGAGGCCTCTTCCCCACCTGCTGACTGCTGCTCCAAGCCCCTTCATGCATGTAAGCCCACAGAAAGGTAGGGTGCAGGCAGGGCTTCTTCAGGCAACATGGAGACCCCACTGAAACTGGAGGTCAGGACACCCTTGTGCTCTCAGAGGCTGAGCCCAAGGTGGCATCCTCTTGCCTCTAAAGGTGGCTGAAAGAACAACTGCCCTCCCTAGGCTCACATGTGTTGTGACCTGCCTGTCACCATCCTGTGGTATCTAGCTCATTTGCCACATTCCCCAATGCCCACTCAGGTCAGGGTTCTGAGCTCTGAAGTCTGGGCTACACATAGACCCCATGCCATTGCTCTGGGGCTCTGTTGGGAGGGCAGGTTTTGCCTCTGACAGGTGAAGTGAGGCCACCCTGCCTGGCCTGATGTCCAGCCATGGTCCCTACAGAACAAGGTGAACTTTGTGGATGATAGCTTCCCCCCAGGGCCTGCATCTGTGGGCTTCCCTGTGGGCGACAGCGTCCAGCAGCGTGTGAAGCAGTGGCTGCGGCCCCATGAGATCAACTGCTCCGTCTTCAGGGACCACAGCACTGCATGGTCTGTCTTCCACACCCTCCGGCCCTCAGACATCCTGCAGGGGCTGCTTGGGAACTGCTGGTGAGGCTCTGGGCTCCTGGCAAGGGCCCACAGGCCCAAGGGAGGATGGTGAGGCTGTTGGTCCAACTATGGTCACTTAGTGAAGCTGCCTAACGCCACACAGGTTCCTGAGTGCCCTGGCAGTGCTGGCTGAACGGCCTGACCTGGTCGAACGGGTGATGGTCACCCGCAGCCTGTGTGCAGAGGGCGCCTACCAGGTGCGGCTATGCAAGGATGGCACATGGACCACAGTACTGGTGGATGACATGCTGCCCTGTGACGAGGCCGGCTTCCTTCTCTTCTCGCAGGTGGGCAGTAAGCAGGGGTGTGAGGCTGGCTTCCTCCTCTCCTTGCAGGTGGGCAATGGGCCTGTGGGGGGTGGGCTGAGGCGGGCCTTTTGACTCCAGCCCCTCCCCAGGCGCAGCGGAAACAGCTGTGGGTGGCCCTCATCGAGAAGGCGCTGGCCAAGCTGCATGGCTCCTACTTTGCCCTCCAGGCAGGGCGCGCCATCGAAGGCCTGGCCACACTCACCGGCGCCCCCTGCGAGAGCCTGGCGCTGCAGGTCAGCTCCACTAACCCCCGAGAGGAACCCGTTGACACTGACCTCATCTGGGCCAAAATGCTGAGTTCTAAGGAGGCTGGGTAAGAGGGGCGGGTGCTGCCATGGCCTGCGGCGTTGGGCGGAGAGGCGAGGCGAGCGGTGGGAGACGCGGGGGGCAGCACCCTCTGAGCTGCACCTGCGACTCACACGGTGCTTCAACGCAGGCTGGCCATGGTCTGGAGGCCTGGCCAGTATTTGCCCCAGGTGGGGCTGGGGCTGTGGGAAGAGCCCAGTGGCCATTGCCTCCTGCATGGAGCCAGGGGTGGGGTGCTAGCCCACAGGGTGCCCGTGGGAGGTATTCAAGACCTGCCCTGCCCTGGTCAATGTGTGATCCCTGAGCCAGCCCCATGTTTCCTCATGGTCCCCCCCTGCCCCAGGTCAGGCAAGGTGGAGGGCTAAGTCAAAACTTCCTGGGCATGTCCTATGTGGTTCCTGGGGACTCATGTGCCCCAAAGGCAGGGAGCAGCCCCTTTCCACCACCCCTGCCCATCCCAGTCAACAAGAGCCATTCTGCCCACACAGGTTCCTCATGGGTGCCTCCTGTGGTGGGGGCAACATGAAGGTAGATGATGCTGCCTATGAGAGCCTGGGCCTGCGCCCCCGCCACGCCTACTCTATCCTGGACGTCCGTGATGTCCAGGGCTCAAGGTAGGGCCTGGCTGGCTGTGGGCAGCCACATATGTGGACATGGGTAGGAGCTGTAGAGGTGTAGACATAGCCCCTCAGCCCTGTGATCCTCAGGCTCCTACGACTGCGGAACCCCTGGGGCCGTTTCTCCTGGAATGGCAGCTGGTCAGACGAGTGGCCACACTGGCCTGGGCACCTGCGGGGCGAGCTTATGCCACGTGGCAGCAGTGAGGGTGTGTTCTGGATGGAGTACAGCGACTTCATCAGGTACCTGGGCTGCCTGCCTGTCCTTTGACTACGAGCACAGCCAGCTCTCCTGCTATCTTGGGCAGGCAGCAGCTCATCTGTGTCCTGGCCTTTGTGGGGGCTCTGAGCCACACCTCTGGACAGACCTGGGATCCAGGTCAGTAGGGCTCATGTTCTGAGCCATCCTGTCCAAGCATAGCAGCCAGGACAAGTGCTTCCTTGCTGGAAGGACTTTTCTGATCAGTGGCACTGGATGCTGGTCTAAGAGATGCTAAGGGCTCGGGGGTGGGGTGGGGGTGGTCATGCAGCTGGAAGGCAGTGAGCTGGGAGCCTGTGGGTAGTTGCCGGGAAGTGGATACCGCATCCAGGAGCTGGGCATGGGGCTGCACTCTGCTCAGAAGCCTGTTCTTGCCACCCAGGTACTTCGATTCCGTGGACATCTGCAAGGTGCACTCAGACTGGCAGGAGGCACGGGTGCAAGGCTGCTTCCCCAGCTCAGCCAGCGGGCCAGTGGGCGTGACGGCACTCACGGTGCTAGAGCGAGCCTCGCTGGAGTTTGCCCTTTTCCAGGAGGGCAGCAGGTGGGCAGCAGGCAGGGGGCTCTGTCAGGATGGGTCCACGGCCGCACTGCACAAGGCCCCAGCTTGCCGTCTGCCACCATAGGCGTTCGGACGTGGGGGACAGCCACCTCCTGGATCTGTGCATCCTGGTGTTCCGGGCCACCTTCGGCAATGGTGGCCGCCTAAGCCTGGGCCGCCTCCTGGCCCACAGCAAGAGAGCAGTCAAGAAGTTTGTGAACTGTGACGTCATGCTGGAGCCCGGAGAGTACGCAGTGGTGTGCTGTGCCTTCAACCACTGGAGTCCCACTCCACCAGGGCCCCCCACCATGCAGGGTAATGGTTCCCCTGAACCCTAGGCCCCTCCCTCAGAGGCCAAAGGCCCACCCTGCAGGAAGGCCGCCAGCTCCCTCACACATGCCCCCCCCACAGCCTCCAGCCCCTCTGCAGGGGTCCCGCGAGGTACCCCTGAGCCTCCTGGACACGTGCTTGCAGTGTACAGCTCGAGGCTAGTCATGGTGGAGCCAGTAGAAGCGCAGCCCACCACGCTGGCAGATGCCATCATCCTGCTCACTGAGAGCCGGGGAGAGCGGCATGAGGTAGGTGAGGTCCCTGTGTGGTGGAGGGAGGCCTGTGGCAGGGGGCAGCTGCCCATGTTGGCTATGTGCAGGGCCGCGAGGGCATGACCTGCTACTACCTTACACATGGCTGGGCGGGGCTCATCGTGGTGGTGGAGAACCGGCACCCCAAGGCCTACCTGCACGTGCAGTGCGACTGCTCCGACAGCTTCAACGTGGTGTCCACGCGCGGCAGCCTGCGCACCCAGGACAGCGTGCCGCCCCTGCACAGGTGGGAACCCCCGGCCCCACCCCACCCCCAGGCACCCACTGGTCCTCACTAGCCCTCTCCCCCAGGCAGGTCCTGGTGATCCTGTCCCAGCTGGAAGGCAATGCAGGCTTCTCCATTACTCACCGCCTGGCACACCGTAAGGCAGCCCAGGCCTTCCTCAGCGACTGGACAGCCTCCAGGGGCACCCACAGCCCCCCACTCACACCTGAAGTTGCTGGCCTACATGGGCCCCGGCCGCTGTGACTGCTGCGTCCTGGGGCGAGGGCTGTGTGTGGACTGCCCACTGCCTCTCACACGCACTTTATGAGGGAGACCCCAACGGAGGACGCTTGAACCAGAATCTCAGGACCCCACCTAGGGAGCCACCAGCCTCAGGGCGCAGCTTCCCTTGGGCACCCCATCCCTGCCCTGTCCCTCCTCTCCCCTCCCAGCCCCTCAGTCCCCAGGCCAGGCCTCCCAGCTGCCAAGCAGAATACCTCGAACTGGACAGGCTGCTTACTGGCCACTCTGACCTGCCATCTGGGGACAATTTCAGGTGGCCAGGGCCAAAACGGGGGCTGCCCCTTCACAGTGAGTGTGGGGTCTCCTACCAGGGAGAGGCAACCAAGAGCTCTGTTCACAAAACCAAATCTGGGGTCAGGAGCCAAGACCCCATGGAGAGTCGGGACCACCCCCCTGTGGGGCTCAAGGTCTGCAGCTTCCCCTCTCAGTTTGCCCTAAGAGCCAGCCAGCCTCCTTGCCTCAAGAAGGCAAGCAGGGGTCCCTGAAGCCCTGGCATTTGAGTAGTGCACCTCAGGAGGCAGGTGCCTGGTGGCCACAGGCCAGGGCTCAGGGTCAGAGGGGTCCCTGTCTAGCTGCCCCTCCTGTGACACTATGCAATTCCTGGAGCACCTACCAGGATCGAAGCCATGACTGGCAGTAGGTCAGGGCGCTGGGCCAGCCCTGCTGTCTGGCGAGGTGTTCTGTCCTCAGCATCCTGACCATGGCCAGGTAGCCAGGGTCCAGCACCCTGCACCAGTCCCATCCCATGGCCTCAGCCCAGCCCATCATGGGCACAACAGGGCATAGCTGCTGCCCATTAGAAGCCCGGGAGCTGAGCTGCCTACCTGTCCAGCATCCCCCCAGCTGTGTATTGAGGCCAGAGTTCTTGTCTGCTGCAGGGACACAAGTCCAGCTCCCTGGGTCCCCTGCCCAGCCACCACTGTCCTGCAGCTCCCGGGCAGCAGGCAGCCAGCCTGCCCACGGCTCTCGCATCCCATGGGAGTCGTGGGTTTTTACACCTAGAGAAACATTCCCCCTTCCCCAGGCCTCCTTTCCTCTGAGCTGTGAATGTTTTTAACCCTGTAAATACAGTCAGCTCTTTGGACACGCAGGCTGTTTTACCAGCTGTCAGTCCCTCCCTGTCCAAGGCTCCACAGGCAGTTCCCACTCAGGCTCCAAGGACCAAATAAAATCATTTTGTTTTGTAAGGGAGCCTTCTGTCTGTCGCTACCCTCCTGGGGTCCAAGCCCTGCAGGAAGCACAGGCTGTTCCCAGCTGGCAGGTGGGGTCTCTGCTGGTGGAGCCCTGCTGAGGGGCAGTGGGGCTTGTGCCGTGAATGCTCATTGCTGCCCAAGGTCAGCCTCATGTGAGCCTCTAAGGGGTGGGGCAGCCAGGAAGATGCTCTGCAGGAAGGTCCAGGTAGGCAGGAGCTGCAGCCAGACCCTGCAACCTCAGCCAGACCGGAGGGTCCATGTGAATGGGTTCCTGCTGTGTTCAGGGCCCTGTCTGAACCCATCAGTCACCAGGCAGGAGCAGATGGAGCAAGGGGGGCAGAGTGGGACAGCAGCTCCTGCCCTGCAGTTGCTTCCACGTCCCCTCCTGGCCTCCTGGTGTCACAGGTGACGCTGAGCCACTCAGCCTGTCTCTGGCCAGCAGCCCAGGCCCCTTTTGGGGCTAGAGGACACCCCCTGGGCAGAGCGGGGGCTGGGAGTGTGCGACCAGAGCACTGTGTGTAAGAGGCCTGTCATAGGCCAGCCCATCGAATGTGAAAGCAATTAAAGCCACCAGCAGTGTTCGCTCCGGGCGGGCCTCAGGCGGCGGGGCAGCTGCCACAGCACATCTCACCTCGCGCCCACAGGCCGCCTGGCCCCTCGCGTCTGCGCACCAGGTTGGACCTCTTGTGGGTGGGGGCCAGGCCTGGCTCACCTGTGTATCTGGCCAAAGCTCCCTTTGTCCACCCCTGAGATCCCTGGGCAACCTAGGACCCTGGCTCCTTCCAAGGCTCCTTTCATATGCCCTACCTGGCACCCACCTTCCTCTGGCCTCTGCATTCTCCAGCCCCAAGACAGCCCAGGAGGGAGGTCCAAGTTGGGAGACAACTGCCTGGGCTGGGCAGGGTGTCCCCGACAGGCCAGCAGCAGCACACCCTCTCCCTTTGACCCAGCTGATACCCTCCCCTCCCTTTGGATCCCAGCAGGCAGGGGATATGAACCTAAGGTGTCCATAAAGGAGGTGGGGGCACTAGCAGGCAAGACCCTTAGGCCAGCATTGGGCAGGAGGCAGGAAGGGCATCTTGATGCAGGTTGAGGGAGAGTCCTGGAGGAGGAGGAGGAGGAGGAGGTTCTATGTGCAGAGCAGGTGGGGAGTGGCTGGGCCAATTCAAGGAGTGGGTCTCAAACACTGTCCCATCAGTGGGCTGGACTGGGCAGTTCGGCCATCTCTAGAGTGCACCTGGTACTCGAGCCAGCCTGTAAACAGCAGGGTGGACTGGCCCTAGAGGGGTTCACAAAGCTCAAGCAGACGGGACTCGCTGCTAAGGCAGGGAGTGGATGCCAAGGGTCTTAGGGGCCCTGCCTGGCAGTCTCCACCCCAGGGTCTTCCAGCCCTCTTCCCCTCCACTCTGCCCCTCATCCCCTCCCCACATCTCTACCCTTCCCCACCTTGCTCCCCGACTTCCTGACCACTTGGCCCCGTGCCCCAGCCCTCTCCTAGCCCTCACTGTTGGCGCAGCATGCTGCAGCAGCCTTCCCGGGCAGCGAGTTCTCACTGGTGAGGCCTCCCTGTCAGAAGCATTTAGTGTACAAATTAGTCGCAGCCTCCCTGCCTCCCTGCTCTGGGCGCTGGGCTGACAGAGCTGCAGCTTGGGGCCCTCTCCTGCCTGCCCAGGGCATACACTGCCAGGTGTGGACCCCTGGCCACTGCCCACATTCAAACAGGAAGGCCCATCCCCTGGGCAGCCAGGGCTCTCCTTGGGGCCCTTGACTTTGAGCTGGACAGTCATGCCTTCTGGGAAAGCTATGGGAATCCAAGCCTAGGGCCCACCACCTGCATTGACCCAAGGAGAGCTGAGTCCCGAAGTTGAGGGCAGCACTGCCTAGACCTGGGTCTAGCTCGCAGGCCCCCACTGCCCCACCCGACAGCCGGCCTGCCACTCAGGCGGGGAAAATCATCTGTGACAGGCCCAGGAAGGCCGGCCCTGGGGGCCGCAGAGCAACACGCTCAGCCTCTCTTCCCAGCATATGGCTGCTGTCGGCCCCGGGCACTGCTCAGCCAGTGCCAGGCTCAGAGACCGGGTGGGGGCATGGGCACCCCGGGTCTCTCGTTCCACCCGCCTTGCCGGCTGCGCCCTCATGAACCAAGAGGCCCCTGCCCCAGCGGGAATGCTCCCCTGTCAGGGAGTTCACTCCCGCAACAGCACACAGCACCTGCTTCTCACCCTCTCAAGGGCTTCCAGGAGTGCCATTTGTCCAGGAGGGAAGCAGTCGGATCCCAGGATGCCCCAACCCCAGGAACCACATTCTTGCCCAGCCCTCGTGAGCCCAGGCTCTCCCTGCCCACTTAGCTTCCCTGCCCTGTTCCTCCCCTCATGAACCTCCCTCAGGTCCCCAGTCTCCTCAGGGTCTTCAGCCTCAGTCCTGGGCAGGACCCTCAGAAAATACGGCCCTCAGCCCAGGCCTGGACCTGCCCCAGCCTGAAGTCCCTAGGACCACATCAGGGAAGGTGAAGCCCAAGGATGCCTGTGCCCTCCAGCCAGTGCTCCTCAGTCAGTGAGCAGGCATGAGCTGAGGCCAAACATCCTGTGTGGCTCTAACCACCCCAGAAAGACCCAGGGCTCCTGCCACTGCACAGACAGTCCCACTGTGGGCTTCAGGGCTGGCCTGGGGGCTCTATCTCATCCTTGTGTCTCTTGGACAGGTGCTGGGTGGCCCAGCCACACACCTGTCCTGGCTAAGGGTGTGACACTGAGGGGATGGGACAGGTCTTCCCCCAGGCACTGAGTGGTCACAGACCCCAATTGGCCTGCTAAGCCCAGCACACAAGCCCCCCACACAGTCAGTTCTGGCAGAAATGAAGGTGACAGGCTGGCAGCTGTGGTAGACTGGGCAGAGAAGGTTAATGGCCAAGGAGGGGCAGCCTGCACCAGCACCCAGGAACCAGGCCCCTGTCCAGAATCCCACTGGAGTCTGAGTCTCCACCTCTTCTGCAGAGAAGACTAAGGCCCAGGGAGTGCGGGCAAGGGTCCACTGGCTCTGGGCCACAGGGGAGTCCAGTCCCTGTCTCAGGAGGCAAGGGCCACCTCCCAGAGCCCAAGGTTTTCCCCTGGGGGAAGGGTTGTCTCAGCAGGGAGTCATGACCTAGAAGGAAAGGGAGGAGCCACCATGTGGGATTGGATGTGCTTCAGAGCCCCTGGGGCAAAGGGCAGGAGACATCCATCCATGCCCAGCCCCAGACTTCTCAAGCAAACCCAGGGCTTGCCCCAGAGTGCAACCAGGGTGTGCCTTTCCCTCTCAGGGTTTGTCCCTCCTCTTCTCTCCCATCAGGTAGGGGAAGGGGCTCCACTGCTAGGCAGAGTGGGCCCCTCCTGCTACCTCCTGCTTTTCTGACCCTGTCCTGGCCTCCTCGCCCCTCTGGGGCTACCTAGTCACCTGAGCTTCACATGGCTTTGCTCCTACATGACAAGACCAAGCTCCCTATGACCAGACTCCCCAAGACTGACTCCCTAAGATAGGTTCCCCAAGGCAGGCTCCCCAAGATGGGCTCCATAAGACAGGCTCTCCATGATGAGGCTCCCCAAAACAGGCTCTCTAGGGCTCTCCATGACATATTCCCTAGACAGACTCCCTAACACCAGGGCTCCCCACAACCAGGCTCTCCAAGACCAGACCCCCTAAGACCACAGATCCCCAAGACCACAGCTCTCTAAGACCAGGGCTTCCCTGGATGATGGCCACAGCCTCCAGCCAGCCCATCCCCTGTGCTGTCAGAAATAGCTTCTCCCAGACCCTCAGAATGGTCAGCCTGAGGCTGGCCAGTGAGGACTAGAGAGAACACAGCTGTCCCTGGGACCTCTCACTCTCACTGTCTCAGAGTGACTTTGGCCTCTCTGGTCAGTGCTCATAACAAGGGACGGTATCCTGGCCCCCACTCTCCACAGGGCTGCTGGCATGATGGCAGCCCAAGCTGTCTCCCAGCCTGGGGCCACCTGCACGGTCAGCTGGTCAGCTGGGCCAGGCCAGTCAGGGAGAGAAGGATGGCATGCTGTTCTGGCCACAGCACCCCTCCCATCCCCCAGCCCTTCTGGGGTGTCCCTCAGGAGTGGGCTAGTGTCAGAAAGGTGACATGGGGGGCAGGAGGAAGGTTTTGCCCATCCCCCAAAACCATGGGGCCCTGATCCTTGGTCAGCAGAGGGATCCCTGCCATCACCCCACTGCACAAACTGGCTGGTCACGGAACCAGGTGATGCTAGGCTTCTGGGTCCAGTGCTCCTCTCTGGCAACCCCATTAAAAAGGCAGGACTTCTTCTTCTTTTCCCCAGGACTTCTGCTCCCCTGACCTAGGCTAGGGAGGCCCCAGGAATCAGTAGCTGAGCCTGCAGGAAGCCTTGGTGTACAGGGGTCAAGTGGCTCTCTGCCTCCACAGAGCAGGCAGTGACTACTCCTCTGGCTGGAGTCACTATGCAGAAAATTGCCACACAACTCTGGGTCAGGAGTCTTCTGAGAATCACAGGCAGACTCCTGGAAGGAAATCATCTGGCTCTGCCCAGCTGCATCTCTGTCCACTTCTAGGATGGAGTGGATGGATCAGGTGAATTTCTGCCAGGACCGGCTGAGAAGTGGGACCCTGGAATGTTCAGTTTTGACAACTGGAGAACAGCTCTGGCATGAGGACACTGGGGGAGAGTGTTGCCAGGATTCATGGTGTGCTGGGCCTTGAGGTCCCCTCACCATTGCACAGGTTCTCCCAGGAGTGTGGCCAGTGAGAAGAGGTCTTTGAAACAGCTGGCGAATGCAGCCCTGGGGCACCTCCCAGGGAGGGGGGAATGAGGACAAAGCACCGGCGCTGCACCCAGATAGGGTGTCAGCGTGAGGTGACCAGCCTGAGGCAGTGGCGGCTGTGGGCCAGGCGTGGGGAGCACACCCATTTCATCTCCGGTTTGGAGTAAAGGATCCGTAGAGGCCAACGGGCCCAAGGAAAGCTGCAAGGGCGCGCTGGCTCCCCTGCTTCAGCTCTAGGCGCGGTCCCTCCCAGCTGGCTCTGGGGGGCACCCTGTCCTGGGGCGCAGCCCGCAGCCCCAGCCTGGGTGGCCAGGCGGCTGTCAGGGGCCACAGCCTTGACAGATGAGCGCTGACGCCCCCTCACGCCGCTGCCGAGACCCGGGAGACTTGGCCGCCTCCACGCACCCCCGCGGCAGCCTGCAGGCGACGGGGGCGGGGACGGTGCCAGGCGCCCCTCACTCGCCGCGCACCTGCGCGCCACTCGGGCTCGGCTGCACCTCGGCGTGTCGGGCGCTGTTCCATTCTGAGCCGAGCCGTCCGGTGAGGCCGGTGAGTGCGCCAAGGCGATGAGGGAGGAGGTGGGGCGGGCATCCTGGGCTGGGGCCGTTCCGCCTCCCGCGCCCCAGCCCTGTCGGAGGTCGCCGCGCCCGGAGCCCGCGCCGTGGCGCACGCGCGCGCTTCACCGCCAACTTCGGTGGGCGCGAGGCGGCGTCGGGGGGACGCGGGCAGAGGCGGCGGTGGCTCCAGGGTCGCTGCCGAGCGAGGGCCGCTTCCCGCTCCCGGCCTCAGTTTCCCTGAGGCGTCCGGGGGCGCGGGCGGGAAGTTCGCCTCTCCGCGCAGCCTGGCGCAGACTTGGCGGGCGCCGCAGGCTCGGCTCGCTCGGCTGGCGGACGCGGGTAAGGCGGGCGGCGCTTCCCGCGAAGTTGGGGCACCGGGCGGGCCGGGCAGGGCGCGGGGCGCAGAAAGCAGCATCGCGGCTCCCCCAGCTCCCCTCTGCCACTGCGTTTGGGGTCCGGGCTCTGCCAGGGGCCATCTCGGCGCCGCCGCAGCGGGGAGTCCGGGGAAGGGTGTTGGGTTCCAACCAGCTGCGCTTCAGCCAGGGGAAGACTGGGTTCGCTGGGCTCCCTCATTAGCCCATGGGTGGTGCACCCAGAGTCCAGAGTGGTCAAGGGGATCTGTGGGTTGTGACCTGGTGGCTGCCCAGTACCCCCTTCAGCGGGTTCTCCCCCAGAAGGGGATGCTTCCAAGTGTCTGTGAGCTTGCACCTGGGCACAGGTTGGGATGTGCTGTGTGGAGGTGAGTGTTTTCTTGTGTGTGTCGGTGTGGGGGTGTCCTCCCTCCATGCATCCGTGTTGGGTGGGTCCCGGATGTCCTCTGGGTCCTCATGGGTCAACAGCTGAAAAGATGGCTTCCAGAAGAGCCCCCCCTCTAGTGCCTGATCTGGAGGGAAGCACAGGAGGAACCCCCATTGAGTCCAGGGGCCCAGGAGGAGCCCCAAATCTGGGCTGGGAGGTGGAGTAGGAGGCAGCACCAGTTGGCACAGCTGTGTGGCTCCCAGGGCTGGGTGATCGATGGCCCCAGCACAGCCGCCTCTGTCGCCTGAGCACTCCTATCTGTCATCTTCATCTTGTGGGGTGGGGGACCAGGCAGGGAGACAGGGCTGCTTTGTACCCACCAAGTCCAAGCTGGGTCTGCAGCCCCTTCCTGTGCCAGCCACCTCCTTCCAAACTTGTAGCCCTTCTAAGCCTTTGCTGGCCCACACTCCACACCCAGGTTTGGTGATGCTGCCCTGTGGGGCCCAAAACATTTGGAAAGATAGCCCTCCCTATCCCCTGGCCATTCCTCTAATAGAGATGCCCACCTGGTGTTTGGTGGCCACAAGGGTAACTGCAGTGGGCAAAGCATAATCACCATCAGGAAGGAAGGCTGTGTCCAGCAACTGCCCAGCTATCCCCAGTCCTGCCCTGGCCATTGTGAGGCACAGTGTATCCACACTTGTGGGTTTGTAACCATGTGTGAGTCCCTACAGTATCTGCCTGTGTACTTGGGTGTGTGTGTACACATATGCCCTAACTCTGCTCTGGTGTATGAGTAGCCATGTCCACCGAGTAGGGTAGGGCTGCGTGTGTGTGCCAGGCTCTCTGCACATGGAGGCCTCCTGTGCAGAATTGGCTTGCCATGCAGAGGTTATTTCTGCAAGGGCTGAACAAGGGCTTCTGCAAACCTGCACACGACACACACACCCAAAGCCTGTGTGCACACACACACCATGCACCCCGCCCAGGCACAAGTGCTGGGGCAGTGGGCAGCCCAGGTGGCAGCCCAGATGGAGTGTGGAGCAGTTTCTAAGCCAGCCTGTGTTTTGGGGCGTGGGGAGAAGAGGGTCTTGGCTGAGCAGGGCCACTGCAGGCTTGGTCATTGACCTGCCTGAAGCCTCCCAGATGGAGCTGGGCCGAGCAGGTGGCTGTGCCGAGGGGCCATACTGTGAAGTTCACTCCCCCAGCCTGGGTTGGCCCCACGTGAGGCTGACTCCCCTCAGACATCTCCCGTGCCCACCTGACACAATGGTGGAGCATCTCAGGCGTGTAGGCACACACGCAGTGTTAACCAGACACTGGCGCCTCTGCTAATACTGGGCATGAAGCCCAAGGGCAATCTACCACTGAGCTGCTCCCCAGCCCTTTTTTTATTTTTTATTTTGAGACAGGGTCTTGCTCAGTGGCCCAGGCGGGCCTGGAACTTGCGACCCTCCTGCCTTAGACTCCTGACTTGCTGGGATCACACAGGTGTGCACCACTGTGCTCAGCTGCCTTTGCTACTTTCTGTCTCAGTGGTCTTCACCTTGGCCTCTGACTCCACAGAGGCAGATGGCTCAATAGGGGCTGGGTCTCTGGAGGAGCAATGGTCACATTTGGCTTCCTTCATTCACTTACCAAATGCTCTCAGGTGCCTGCCTGTGTGGAGGTGGGGCTGCTCAGAGACTGACCATCCCAGAAATTGGCCTACAGGGGCCAGCATGTACTCATGGCCAGGGGGATTTTTATAGGATCACCCAGTAAAATGCAGAAAAACCAATTAAACTTTTCTTTCAGGTAAATGATGAATAATTTTTATTGTAGTTTCCAAATCAGCAGAGCCCATACTTACCCTAGAAAGTTACTGGATGTCTGTGTTAGGTTTGACTGGTGCCTCATTCTTCATTTGACAATCTGGAGGCCCTATAGGTTCCTGGAGAGGCATTCAGGGAGGGGGCTGAAGCCACAGGGCAGAGGAGGCAGGGGCACCTGGGCTCTTCTCCTGGAGCTGGGGAGCCCTGAGGAAGGGAATTGGGAAGTCTGGGGGACCTGGTGCTGACTGCAGTCCCCTGTCTGCAGGTAGCCATGGTGCCCCAGTCTGCCCACTAGCCAGCCACCATGTCCCGTGAGGCTGGCTCGTGCCGCGTGGGAACTGGGGCCAGGGCAAGGTCTCGGAAGCCCAAGAAGCCACACTACATCCCCCGGCCCTGGGGCAAACCCTACAACTACAAGTGCTTCCAGTGCCCCTTCACGTGCCTGGAGAAGTCCCACCTCTACAACCACATGAAGTACAGCCTCTGCAAAGACTCCCTCTCACTGCTGCTGGACTCCCCAGACTGGGCGTGCCGCCGTGCCCCCTCCTCTCCCAGGCCCCATATGTCTACCCCAGATGGTTCTGGGGACCCCCCAAGCCGTGGCAGGCAGCCCACCGTGCCAGACGCCATGGTCACTGACAGCCTTTCCCAGCGCCATTGCAGTGAGGGCCCTAAGCCTGGGGCCAAGGGGTCTCCAGAGTCACTGCCCACTCTGGCCAGGGCTGCTCAGAAGGGTCCTGGCCCTGGTGGGCTCCTGATGGAGTCCTGGAAGCCAGAGCTGGGCAGTGGTACAAGGAGCATGGCTGTAGGGGCTGTAGCCTCAGCAGGCCCTGAGAGAAGTGTCCCCTGCTACCCACCACCCACCCCGGGTGAATTCCCAGAGGCCCAGAGCATCCACCTGTCACTGCTGGGTGTCAACTACCCTCTTGGCCCTGGCCTCTTCTCCTACCTGGGTCCATCACTGGCTGCTGCTGCCCACATGCCCTTCTTGGCCTCAGCCAGCCCTCTGCTGCCCCCCGCTGCCACCTTCCCCTCCCCACAGTCCCCTGAGCGGGCCGCCCCAGCCCCTCGCCTGTATTATCCTCTGCTCCTGGAGCAGAGTCTGGGGCTTCCAGCTGGCAGGGCCGGCCCTGCCAAACCCTCTATGCCCCCTAAGGGACCCCCTGGGACTCTGACTCCTGGGCTGCTGAAGGTGCCCATTCCAGGGCTGGGGGGGGCCTGGCCCTATGGCACCCCCAGGGATCCAGGGCAGGAGGGAGACCCCCAGAGACAGCTGCCCCTGGGGAGCAGGCTGGAGCTCCAGAAGGCCTCCTCAAGCCTGGCGAAGTTTGGTTCCCAGAGCAGGTGGGTGCCTTGGACTGCGGGTTCTGGGGATGGAAAATTTAGGGAAGGGCTGGGTTGGGGGTGGACCCTGTTCCAAGCTAACTTGCTGGGAGTACAGGCTCCAGGCCACAGAGGAGAACTGAGACCTGAGAGCATCTCATCTGTCTTTGGGGAGCTCCTAGCCCTAGACTGGCACCTTATTCCATTTCCCTGGGGCTATGGGTGACATGATGGTCAGGGACCCCAGGGGCAGGGCTGGGGCACTGTGGGGGGCTTTGTGACCTTCTGATTGACTCTTATTCTGCAGCCTGCCATCAGGCTCCTCCCTGATGCTCTGGCCTGAGGACAAGGAGCTGGGTGACCCCAAGGCCTCAGGTCCTGAGGTCCATGTCGCCCAGCAGTCACAGGCCCAGGTGCTCGGAAGCCCAGAACCTGTGGGTGAGGACCTGACCCAGGCCCTCGGCGACTATGCCAGGGTGGAACAGTACCTGGGGCAGTTGATGCCTGTTGGGGGCCTGGCCCCCCAACCTCTGCGGGAGCAGCTAGGAAAGATCCGTCGAGAGCTGCTCACCATCCACCAGGCACTGGAGCGGGCAGCACGGCCACTGGACACACCTCTTGACCTCTCTGTGAAACGGGTGCCTGCCAAGGGACCTGAGGCACGAGCAGAGGCCTGGGAACTGCCTGAGCTGGGCCCCACACTGGCAAGGGGGACCCCTGAGACTCCCAGCATGCTGGGCCACACAGCACCTGAGCCCTTCTCCAGCCATACCACCAAGTGTGAGGCAGACTCCAGTGTCCCACCCCCCGGCCTTCCCCTCCAGGCGCATGAGGACCCTGTCATTCCTGGCCGTGGCTGGGGTACTTGTGTCCGGGCTGGGGGCTCCCAGACCCCTAAGGATATCCCTGGCCTGCAGAGCCCCACAGGTGCTGAGGTCTAACCACAGCCACTAAGTGTGATGGCCCTGCCCCTGCCCTGGGCCCCCTGCCAGGAGCCTGTCCAGCCTGTGCATGTGGACAGACCCCACTAGCTTTGATTGAGGCTGTCTCAGAGCCCTGTGGAAATTGCTAGGTCATGGTTATTTATTGATCACAGTCATAGACATTAAATAGATACCACCTTCAAACACGCTGCCTGGGCCTCCTTCCTTTGCTGCCCCAGCAAAAGTGCCTGGGCATTCCCAAGGAAATGTCAGAGCCTAGACATTTTGGGTGGGCAGTGTCCCTGACCTCCCTGCTGGCCTCCCACTTTCTATCCCAATGCCCTTACTTAGCCCTCCTTGAGGGGCTAGGGACAGAGACAGGATGGGCAGGGAGATGCCTGCATAGTCTGGGCTGCTCAGGATGATCTCACTTGCTTTTTAGGGGTGGGCAGGGTCCTGGGCATCCTGCAGCCCCAGTCAGCCCAGTCTGCCCTAGCACAGCTTGTATGTGGTTACATGATGCCTCTTGCATTCTGTGGCTCAGGGCTGCTCACCCTATGTGGCCTTCTCTGGGCCCCCGCCAGTCCCTGCAGCCATGATAGGCATCGGTGGCCTTCACAGCTCGCTGCCTCCCTCCCAGTGCCCGCTTGGCCTTCCAGGGTGGGGGTGGGCATGTCCTCCATGGCCACCGGGAACGCCCAGTACAAGCTGCCCTCCAGGTGCCATTCCTGTCTGTACCTGGCTGGCCAAGCTGGGACTGGGCCAGCCAGGCTAGGGCCAGTCAGAGCAGGACTCTTGACTGCCCCATTGACCGTGCTGCCTGGTGATAGCATCAGACAGCCACCCCACTGCAAGGCGTTACAGGCAGTGTCTGGAGCTGGGGTGCCAGCTGGCTGGGTGAGGAACACAGAGTGGGTTGCAGATTGGGGTCAACAGGTACCAGCTGAGTACTCTCTGCCCAGAGGCTTCCCAGGGGCTATAGGGCAGAGCCAGCTGGTGTCTGAGGACAGAGGTCCTGAGTCTGAGGTAGACCCTGTGGCACCCCATGTCCACTGCACCCCAGTTCCTCATGCTGGAGGTAGCCTCACAGGAGCAGAGTCTGAACCAACCTGCCTTTGTGGAGGGGTGGGAGGAGGGTGACTCGGCCAGCAGGTCACCTTCCCCAAAGCCCTAATGCAAAGGTCCTGCCTGGGGGCAGTGGCCTGGGGATGCCTGGTTCTGGCTGAGATGGGGCCTGTTGGAAAGGGTTAGGTGAGGCTGAGAGGCACCCAGGCACATAGCAGAAGTGGGAAGGTAAGGCCTGTGTGCGGGTTTGGGAGAAGGCCCAAGGCAGGAAGTTGTCAGCAGCCTGGGGACTTGGTCCAGGTTCCAGAGCTTCCTTGGGCTCTTGCATAACTGGGACTAGCCAACTGCCCCTCCCATTTGTCCCTGCAGGGAAACTGCCAGGCAGCTCCACCCCTCCCTCCACCTGTCTCCAACAACAGAGGCCAGGCTGCCAAAACAAGAGCAGGGAGTCTGACCCAGAAGGGACTCTGGCTGGCTACTCTGGATGGGGGCATCAGAGAGTCCTAGAAAGAACCCACCTAACAGATCAGGGCTTGGAGGTCTCCCTGAACTGGTCACAGACAGGGGCTGAGACTGGCAGGAGCTAAGGGAAGGGGTCCCATGAGCAGGTGAGTTTGGGAAATGCCACTTATCTGCCACTCCCTCACTCCCACCCCAGGACACTGCAATGCTGTGCCTTTTATGGGTGGGCCACATCTCCCAGACTCCAGCTCCAAGGTACCTGATCATCTGGGTAGTTGCTGAACTTGGGGAGCAGACAGATACCCCAGATCAGCCCCATGGTGCCTCAGGAAAGGCACCAGGAGCCACAGTGGGCCATTGCCACCTTTCTTGCAGCTACAGAAGAACTGAGACTGACTCCACCCATCCTCCTGCCTCTGGCCTCCTCCCCAACTTCCCAACTTCTTGAGCACCCCTGCTGGCCACCTGATCCCCACTGTATCTCACACTGGACCAGCCTGGAGACCTCATTTGTTCCCGGCCGCCCCGGCTGCTTGGGCAGATCCTGGCACCTGCAGGGGCTGCAGGGGGGCCCCGAGGCCTGCACTGCTCCTCAGATGGCCTGCTCTTTCTGACAGCTGGGGCTGCACCCTGCATCCATGTGCTGGACCTGGAGGGACGCTCCATTTGCCGCCTGTCCTGCTGCATGCGGGAGGCTGGGAACTTTGTTCCAGAGGATGTGGCTGTAACAGCTTCGGGGCTTGTGGTGGTTAGCGACCTCATCCATGGGGCTGTCCATGCTCTTCAGCACACTCCCCGGGACCCTCAGGGGCACTGGGTGACGGTGGGCACATTCCTGTCCCCTCGAGGGCTGGCTGTGGATGCCCTTGGCCGATTCCTGGTGACAGATTATGTGCGTGGGGCTGTGCACAGCTTCACATTGGGCCCTACTTGGGAGCCCTTGGCCCCAGCCTCAGTGCTGGGTCTGGAGGGCCCTTGCTGGGTGAGCCCAGAGCCTGACGGGGGCCTTGTTGTGAGCGAGGAGTTTGGGGATGTGTGGCTGTTTGGCAGTGCCTGCCAGCCCCTGGGCTCCCTGGGGGCCCTGAGGGGGCATACCTTTGGTCGCCCAGCAGGGGTGTGCTCTGATTCAGAGGGCAGTGTTATTGTGGCTGATGAACAGAGGCGCCAGGTGACCCTGTTTCCCAGGGCTGGGACGCCTATCTGTTTGTTGTCAGAGGGGCTGAAGCGACCCTTGGCTGTGGCCTGTTCACCCCAGGGCCACCTTGTGGTGGGAGATGCGGGGGACAACCACATCAAGGTGTACCAGTATCTTGGGAGTTGGCCTGATGATAGGCGGTAAGGGCAGGCCTCACCATGCCTGGCCAGCCTGAGGCTATGAAGCACCATGGGAGGCTGGTGGGCTCTTCTGGGGCTACTGGCCATGCTTCATGACTCTGAGCCCCCATTATTCCCAGACCTGGTCCTTTTGGTGAGTACTTGCATCTCATCCACAGCCAGAGATTAGCTGCCTTTCAAGCTTCCTCTACAAATCTCCTAAACTGGGCCCTCTCTGTGTCTTCATCCAGTGTGCCCCGGCCCTGCACTCAGCATACCCTATCCACTCAGACCCTGGCTTGCTGACTCAGGTCTCAGGAAGCCTGGGCTTTCATGCTGGCAGTAGAGGCTGGAGGTCCTTGGTGTGGTAGGCTGCCTGCCAGCACATACCAGGGAGGAATCCTAATCAGAGGCAGGCAGGGTGGGTGTGGCTGGGCTGGGAGGCTTGGGGCAGGGGTGTGGTCCCTCAGTGTCCCCCAACCTCAGAGGCACCCACAGTACTGAGTTTTCAGCAGCTTTTCTGGGTTGAGCAGAGGTAAGGAGGAGGCAGAACAGAGGGGCAAACTTTGAGGTAATTTGGGAAGCACATGGCTGGGTCTGGAGTCTCAGTGCCCGCTCCTCCACTCCCCCATGTGAAACCATTTTGAAGACTGTCTGAGTCTTCAATTCTCTGCAAATTGCATCCAAAAAGCTCCAGGTGCACGGGGCAGGAAGGTTGGGAGGTTCTAGGTAGCACAGGTCCTGAGTAGCCTTCCTCTGAGGACAGACTTCTGGTGCTTTAAAAAAAAAGGAGAAAAACCATGGCCTTTTCTCCCATGTTACAACTGGGAAAATGAGACTTGAAAGGGGACAAGTGTGGGGTGGGTGCTTGGGGGTTTTACTCAGCAGTCTGCGAACCTGTGAGGGGTCTTCATTGCCTTGCCCGGCCCCTGCAGGCTGTGAGGTGGCGCTCCATCTATCACCAGGACACTGACATCTGTGGTTACACCTGTTGAGATTTTCTCAATATGTCCGGGCCCCTGTGGGTGGGGGATTAAATGGGCAGATGTAGAAAGCAAGGAGAGTAGGTGCACAATAAATGTTAGAAGCTGCCCTGGTCTGAGATTTTGCGCCTGTGGCGGGAGGGGCTAGTGACTCCTGAGTGCGCGCTCCTGGTAATCCCGTGGCTGCGGCCTAAACTGGTCCCAGCTGGCTTCGCACAGCAGGCCTGCAGAGCTCTGGGGCAGCCCATAGGCAGATAGTAGTGTGAGAGGTACGGCCTGGGGCCGCGGACAGCTCCTTCAGGATTCCACGCGGGGCCTGGCGGTCCCTTTCCCCCCTGGGAAGGCGGGGCCAAGGGGCGTCGGGGTCCCCCAGGGCCGGGCCCGCCGGATCCCTCGGACGAGGATACCGCTCAGGCAGGACCGCCGCGCGCGCGGAACGCTCGGGCGCGGCCCGCGGGCTGCCCGGGCGCCTTTGGGGGCTGGACCGTCGCGCGGCAACGCGCAGAGCGGGCGGAAATGGGGCTAGTGTCCCGCGGCGCGGCCGCGGCGGGGCTGGGGGCCGCGAGCGCTGTCGTCCGCCCGGGCCCGCCCGACGCGGTCCCCAACCCCGTCCCCTCCCCGCCGCCCGGGGGCGCGGCCCGGGGCAGCAGCCGGTGAGCAGGGGGGAGGCCGGTGTCTGCGGGGAGTCCGGGGAGCCTCCGGCCGGGCGGCGGGAGCGAGGGTCCGTGGGGCGTCTCCGGGCCGCGGGCTTGTTTCCTCGTCCGCGCCGCGGGGACGCCGCTGCCGCCTGTCTGCGCCCGCCTGGGCGCGCCGACGGGGCCTGGGGCGTCCCGGCCTCGGCTTCTCACCGCGGGGACGGGCGAAAGAGGTTCACCTGTTCGGAAGGCAGGAGAGTTTCGTTTCGTTGTTTAAACCATGCGGGTGGAGCTGCACCCTGGAGAGGCCTCACCCGAGGAGGGTTCCAGCGGGTGTCCCCCGCGTCCCCTGGCCGGTTCATGCGGAGGCGGAGCTCCGCGGGAGCAGTTCTTTCGCCCCCGCCTCGCGCTGGGAGCTGTTTCCTTCCTGGCAGAGGAGCTCGCCCGGGCTCAGGCCGTGCTTTCAACCAGGGCTTTCAAGATGCTCTCCTTGCCCAAATCCTGCCTGCCTTTCAGTCCCGCGCCTTCTCTTCTATCGATCGCCTGCTCTTTCATCTTTTTCTGGCTGCTGGATTCCCCGCAGCCTGGCGAGCGCTCTCGCTTGCGCCGCCGTCACTCCTAGAGGCTGAGGTGGGAGTAGAGATGAGAATTTGCCCCATCATTTGTTGAGTTCTCTGGCGCCCTACAGATCCGAACATAAACATCTGCCTTCCAATCTCCTTCCTTAGACGTGAGGAGCTATTTATCTTGTTTTGCTTTTAAGGTAAACGTTGTACATAAACCATGCTACACACAAAGGAAGAGCACAGATTGTGTGCATGCAACTTACCCAGCTACTCACAATCTGTTTAATGTTAGGCCAAAGGTGTTTCTCTTCCATCAATAGCCATGGACCGTTTCCCTCGGTTCCTGTGGAAGATGTCCCCCACCAGGCGTGATGATTCACAGCTGATGTGTCCTGAGGGGTTGACTGACAGGAAAAACTTATACCATTCTGAGTTGTCGACTGTGGCAGTCACCAGCCAAATGCTGGGCACCTCACATCAGAATCTCTCTGTCCCTCTCACAGTGCCCCTGGTGCCTTGTGTCAGTGGTTCCCTGGAGTCAGGCCCTGCAGAAGGGACTGGAAAAGAAATTGGCCCTTGATGCCAGCCATGGGGTCCCCTGTTGGTCATGAGGGTTATCCCAGTGGTATCAGCTGATTGACTGCCTTCTCAAAATATTGTGGGGAAGGGGCATCCGGGAGTTCTGCAGCTGGATCTGTAGGTACCCTTTTCAACCAGGACCCATAGTTATCAAAGTACCCTCCAGCTACTGGTCTGGTGTACCTGCAGGGCTGATAGCAATTACACCACGGTCTCTTAAGCCCTGGCCGATTGTGTCTGTGTGAGGCCCTCACAGACATGTGTGTCCTACTTGTCTCTAAGGGTTTCATGAGCGCTGAACCTGGAGGCCCATGTTGAGTCCAAGGTCTGTTTCCCTCCCTTAGTGTGGCCACCAGCTTGGGGGTCTTTGCTCAGGATGTCTGCTGTCATTTATGTAGGCGAGGTGGGCAAACATAGGCACCCAGATCCTGCTGGCTGTAGTGTACTTTCCCTTCATCCCCATCCAGGTCAAGGAGCTCCTGGCCCAGGTGCAGCAGGCCCTCACCACCATATGGGGCAAGGTGGTTCTGTCCATTAGGCCTGTTGGAAAGGACTCTGGTGAAGGAATGAGAAGCTGCCCTTCTTTGCAGGGGGTGCCTCCAAAAAGGTTTCAGCCTCAGTAGTTCATCTCTGCGAAGGAAAGGCCTGGGGCCCTGCAGAGTTCAGGATTTGCAGCTGCTTGGGGCTTTTCTTAATGCTCCAAGGCCACATTGAGATAGTGAGGGGCCAGGAAGGCTGGTGTCCTCTCAGTCTGAGAGAACATGAGGGTATTCTTCCATACCTCCAGGGCCCATGAACTGCCACCCCATGTCTAGATGACTATATGGTTGAAGAAATACATCCCAAAGGTGGGAAAATACTCCCCTGCTGGGAGCCCTGATCTGAGGTCGCTGCTGGGAATCCCAGGGAAAGATGAGTACCGCTCAGGGTCATTGCAGGGAGGGTGGAGAGTCAGAGTGGATACAGAAACCCTGTGAGAACAGCAGAGTCTATTTTTCTGAATGTGGTGGCCGGTGGATGCTCTCCCTGCTGTGAAGGGGAGGCTCCTTCAGATTCTGGCACCTCCTGGGTGCCTAACTATGTATGTATGGTTGGTTTCCCTCAGTCCAGAAGCACAGTGTTTTAAATTTTTATCTTTTCTTTTTTTTTTAATTTATTTTTTGGTTGTAGATGGATACAGTACCTTTATTTTATTTATTTATATGTGGTGCTGAGGATTAAACCCAGGATCTCACATGTGCTAGGTGAGTGCTCTACCACTGAGCCACAACCCCAGCTCTCTTTATTCTTGTTAACTTTTTTTTTAGTTGTTGATGGACCTTTATTTATTTATGTGGTGCTGAGGATCGAACCCAGTGCCTCACTCATGCTAGGCAAGTACTGTACCACTGAGCCACAACCCCAACCCCTATTCTTGTTAACTTAATATATGAATCCTGGTTTGTTAAAGTTGTAATTTTTAAAAAATATTTTGTTTATTTTATTTGTATTTTTTTTTTAGTTGTTGATGGACCTTTATTTTTTAAATTTATTTGTATCGAACCCACTGCCTCACACATGCTAGGCAAGTGCTCTGCCACTGAGCCCCCAAAAGTTGTAATTTTTAAAAAATATTTTTGTAGTGTTGATAGACCTTTATTTTTTATTTATTTATACGTGGTGCTGAGAATTGAACCCAGTGCTTCACACATGCCAGGTAAGTGCGCTACCACTGAGCCACAGCCTCAGCCCCTATAATTTGTTTTACTTTGTTGAGACTGTACATTTTGCCATATGCTGCTCAAAAAAATCTCTAGCCTGGTGCCATGGCACACATCTGTAATCCCAGCTATGTGGGAGGCTGAGGCAGGAGGATTGCAAGTTCAAAGCCAGCCTCAGCAACTTAGAGAGGACCTAAGCAACTCAGTGAGACCCTGCCCCTAAATAAAAAGGGCTGGGGATGTGGATCCGTGGTTAAATGCCCCTAGGTTCAACCCCTGTACCAAAAAATTAAAAATAAATAAATAAGAAAAGTTAGGGATGCAGCTTGGTGGTAGAGCTCTTGCTCAGCATGTGTGAAGGTCCTGGGTTCAATCCCAGGCACCACAAAAAAAAAAATATATATATATATATATACACACAGATGATCAGAGTCCTTTACCTGTAGCTCAGGTGCCCCTTTCAGGTGATATCTATCATGCACATCACCTTGACTTGCTATTGTACATGCAGTTGCTGCTTCATGGGGCAACACTCAGGCTGGCCTCAGGAGCATAGCCCATGTGAGATGGGTGGCCAAGACCTACCAATGTCTTCCACCAAACCCAGAACTGGGTTGCCCCAGTGTCTGCCAGGACTGTTTGCCACGTCCTGCAGCATGCCCTGACTCAGCCCTCTCCCCTCTCTTGCAGGGTCCCTGGCATGGTGCTCAAGGCCTTCTTCCCAACATGCTGTGCCTCAGCAGACAGTGGCCTGCTGGTGGGACGGTGGGTCCCGGAGCAGAGCAGTGCTGTAGTGCTGGCTGTAGTGCACTTTCCCTTTATCCCCATCCAGGTCAAGGAGCTCCTGGCCCAGGTGCAGCAGGCCAGTCGGGTGGGCATGGCCGTGCTGGGCACCTGGTGCCACCGCCAGCAAGAACCTGAGGAGAGCCTGGGCCACTTCCTGGAGGGCCTGGGCACCATCTTCTCCCATGAGCCTTGGCTACAGCTGTGCCGGGAGAGGGGCAGCAAGTTCTGGAGCTGCAAGGCCATCCACCGGCAAGTGTCTGCTGCCCCTGATGTCCCCAGCGAAGACCAGGTCATGCTAATCTTCTATGATCAGCGCAAGGTGCTGCTATCCCAGCTGCACCCACCTACAGTCGTATCTGATCACCAGGATGGAGATACTATGGCTAGTACTGGGGGCCTTGCTGTGGTCTTTGATACGGTGGCACGCAGCGAGGTGCTGTTCTGCAGTGACCAGTATGATGAAGGCCCTGTGCGGCTGAGCCACTGGCAGTCAGAGGGTGTGGAGGCCAGTGTTCTTGTGGAGCTGGCAAAGCGGGCCTCAGGGCCAGTCTGCCTGCTGCTAGCCTGTCTGCTGTCACTGATCTCAGCAGCCAGTGGCTGCCGGTAGGTACTCCTGGGATTTGGAGGGTATGGAAAATGGGCAGGCCATTAAGAGTTGCCCCTCAAGGGTGCAGGGACCCAGGCTCATGTGGGCCCTTCCTTAGGTGTACAGCTCACCCTGGGACCTCAAATTCCCTTCCCTCCCCTGCACATCTCATGGGACATCCCAGGGGTGGCTGTGGTTCCTGTGTTTCTTACTCCTGGGGTGGAGCCAGTTCTTCCAGCAACCTTGGTTATTGCATG